TTATTTAAAGGTTAGAGTTCTAGTTATTTTACTTTAAAATCTAGATCTTAAGGAAGGTTTATGTAATAAGACCTAATTATTAGTTACTGCCTTAAGTTAATAAGGCGCGTTTATAACTAAAAAGATCTTAAAAGGTAAATTTAATAAATAAACATAAACTATTACTTAGATTAAATTAGTATTAAAGAATTATAACATTTTACCTTTTTTTATTATACACTATTAAATACTTATCTAGTTATGTTTTATAATGTTTATTAACAAATTACAGGGCTAATCTATAGAGATTATAGGTGTAGACCTAAGGCATCTAGTCTTTACGCATAGACAGCTTTATGTTGTGCTTTTTAGGGTTATAACTATATCTAGCATATGTATTTTAAACTAGGCTAATTTAATAGGGCGTGTTATTAATGTTATGTATAAAAAGGTGTTGTTATAATCTACTTAGTTATGTGCTGTGTTTTGTGCATGTATTAGCAATGCCTAGGTTATAATCTGCTACACTTAAGGCGTAATCTAGCTAATTTAGCTAAGCGTAATTTAAAAAGGGCTTTTTTTTTACTTTTTCTACTTTTTTTTTATAGCCTTTATTTTTTATCTTTAACATTTATTTTACTATAAGTATTACTTATAAGCTGTCTAATGTGTTTACTTTTTACTATGTTCCTGCCTATAAGTGTTGTGCTACTAGCAAGCTATAGTCTAACCTTAGAAAAGATCTATAAAGTTAGTATTAGTAAGCTACTTATTAATTAGTTACACTTTACTTTAGTCTTACTAGTAAAAAAGTATAGTTAGTAGACTATTCTTATATAAACATATATACTATTACTTCTTTAGTTACTAAGCTAATAGTGTTAGGCATATAACATCCCTCTGTTATCCACCTGTCCCCTGCTGTATATACTAGAACATTAGAGTTGTCTACTTAATTAGCTATTTAATGTTTCTAGTAGTTTTATAAATTAAACATAGTAAAGTTATTATTAAAATATTAACCTCTAATATCTGCTTACTTTGTAGACATCTTTCTAAGGTTAGAACAACGTAGTCTAGAAGTGGCCTTTTTAGAATAGTCTACTTTGTGTTCTAACTTTATCTAGTACTAGATCTAACATTTCTTTATTTAAATTTATTTATAATTAGTGTCTACTAAGGCTAATGTTTAAGGCTAATAGTATTAATTTCCCTTAGCATGTTTATATAGACAAGGTTGTGCCCTATTATTATTAAGTGTAGTTAAAGAAATTCAATAGTTCTAAACCTTTAAACATTTAGACTTAGCCTTATGCACATTAGGTTAGTAATTATATCTACTAGAGTTTAGTTATTTACTTACTAAAAATCCTAGGCCTGTACACTCTTTAGTTATAATCTGTGTTATTCTTTTATAGCTAACTAGTATTCTAGTTAATTAGCTTACTTACTTTCTCTCTTACTTATAGATAATAATCTAGACTATAAAAGTATCTTACTTAAAATATACTCTAAATTTAATAATATATGCCTTATGTTTTTAAGTAAATATTTTAATTTAGAGACTAATAATAATTATTAAATAGTGTAGAAAAAATATTAGGTTGTTACTTAAGTTAATAATAATACTATTTAGTAAAAAAGAGAGGAAAAACAGAAGATACAACATTTATAGTAGCAGAAATGTTAATTTATAGATTAGATAACCTACTTAACTTAGACTAATATCTAGCATCTTATAGTTATGTGTAGGGATAGTTTATATAATTATTATTTTACTTAATTTTATCTTTTATTAGTGTTAATCTGCTAGAGTTTATAAGTTACTTTACACTTATTTATTTAAAGTCCTTTTATTTACTAATAGACTTAAGCTGCTATTAGCTCTATATCTGTTACATTTATTAAGGCTAAATATTATTATTAGTAGGTATTATACTGTTATTTGTTTACTTTGCTAGGTAGCATCTTATTAAAAGCTGCCTACTATCTGCTATGCAGTTTTTAATTTTTTTGTATAAATAATTTTTTTTTATTTAGGTATTTATAGGCCTAAGCGCCTTTTTATAGTGTTATGTAGTAATTACTATTATATTAAAATCTATTAGATTAGGCTAAAGATTGCTATTATCTAAAAAAGTTATTTTTATACTACTTATGTTTTCTACTCTTAGTGTTGCTGCTAACTTTTCTACTATATTTTTATATATTACTACTAGAGTTTTTAACATTATAGCTAGATTTTTTATATTTGCTGCTAAACTTTATATTGCTTAACTAGATTTTAACTTTACTATTTAATTCTTTTAATTCTAATTAGTCTAAATCTAGCTCTGCTTCTAGCTAATTAGCCTAGGTAATTAATAGTAGAAGATTATACTGTTCTTTAATCTTACAACTATATTTACATAGCTAGCTAATAAAGTTCTCTATCTTGCTAATAGTATTAGTTATACCTGCTACTAGACTCTGCATAAGTTAGAAACGTCTAGCTATTAACATCTAATAGACATTAACAGTATAGTTAATATTTATGCTAATATTGCTGCTAGAATTATAGTAGCTTGCAGCTAAAGTTAGAAGAGCTTACTTTTACTTTTAATAGTATTTTAAAGGCTTAAGTTCTTTATCTAGAAAATTATTTTTAAAAATTTTATACTTTTTAAGTGTAGTGTTAATTAATTACTAATTACTACTAGATGTATATTCTATATACTATTAAAGTCTAGTAAAGTTAGCTATGTATTTAATGCTTATAGTTGCAGAATAAACACTTAGCCCCTTTACCTCTATAATAGCAGTATGCGTATAAACTTTTAAAAAAGCCTTAAATAGTAACACATATTAAAAATCTTTTACTAAATGCTGCGCATTATTTATAAGAAATCTACTTAGCTTTTACTATAAACGCCTAAATAGCTTTAGCGCTTTGCGATTTATTTATGTTTAGAAACATAATAATGCTATTACTGTGCTTATTTACCTACAGTTAAAAGTATACTAGCTAATTTTATAAAAACTAGTGTAATTTATAGAATGCATTAGAGAATATTTTCTTATTCTAAATAATCTAACTATTTGCTACTAGGTTAGTCTAGTAGTTATTCTAAATAACCTTTTTACTATTAACTACAACAATCTTTTATTTTTTAGACAGATTGTATTTAGATAAGGCTGTATTCTTAGATTTATAAAAAGGATTAGTTTAAGCAGGTAGAGTATAGCTAAATTTAGTAGAGGTTTAGTGTTATGCAAAATCTTCTAGTAACTGCTATCTAAATTTAGGTAGAAAGAAACCTATTAAATTCTGTCTCTACATTAGGTTTTCTCTAGCTAATTAATGCAGTTTCTAGAATGTAAGAGCATACTCTAATTTTTAGTTTATGCTAGTATTTAGCTAATTTTAGTAGTTCTTTTGCGCTTTACTGTTATTACTATTACTACTTTTTTTAATATTTCTACTTTTACTATTACTAGCTTTATTATTGCTATTACCTTTAGTAGTATTTCTTTTATTTATATTATTATTATTATTTTATAGTTTTTTATTACCTAGACTAAACTATAATAAGTAACTATTACTTAGATAGTTATTATTATCTACTACTTAGTTATTATAGATAGTATTTGTGTTTATTTTATTAAAATTAGCTATTAGAGTTGCTAGTTTTAGAGGTTTCTTGCTAGTAAACCTAGTGCGTGCAGATTAGAGTGCTTAAAAATATTAGTATCTAGGACAATTCTATAGTATACAGCTAGATTGTTATTAGAAGTTAGTAGTTACTTTACTAGACTTAGCTTTTTTAGTTTCCTTACTATTAAGATTACTAAGGCTTAGGCAGAGAGCGTTAAGCCTGTTTGCTATCTAATATTAGTTATATTTTATTATCTGCTAGTATTAGACTAGTTATATATACTTACTCTTACTTATTATTAACACAGAGCCCTTTGTAGAAGTTTTATAGTAAAGTAAAGGAGTAAGAGAGGCAATTAGTAGACATATATTAGATGCTAGCCTGTGCGCTAAGCGAGACGCCTGATTATGTCATCCAAGCTTCCGAAAAGGAAGGCTAATACCTGCTTGTATTCATCAATGATCTGGATAAACGTTTGAGAGAGTATACGAAAAGTAAGACATAGGTAATAGACTACAGTGTCTTCTTACCTTTCTGCAGGTGAGGTTTGGGCGACGAGAGACGGATAGTTGAAGGAGATGGCTGAGCCAAAGGCAGCTGCCTCAGCCAAAGCAAAGTTGCACGTGACTAGGAAAGTATAGCCGAGTGTCCCGTTCCCTAAACAGGCCCCTTCGTTCATGCTCAGGGGCTGTGCAGGTGCAATTTTGGACCCTCTAATATGTGCTCAGGCTTAGATCAGGAGTCTTCCAGAGCGACTCACCCTCAGCTCAGGTTAAAGCGACTGCTCAGGCCAGCGACTGTAACCGGAACTAGTTCCAAAAGAGACGTTTGCCTGTCTCTATAGGAAGGAACAAGGCTGCACAGCGCAGATAGAAGGCAAATAAGGCAACGAGATGTGGAAGAAGGCAGCAGCGTAGATAGGCTGAAAGCTCTGTTTATATGCTTCTTAATTCTCCTATAGCTAAGGGGATTATTCTATCTAAATTAACTCCTTGCACAAGCTTTCTGAGGGTGATAAAAAGTAATCTACTGTCGCCTGCAACCCGAATTGTGCTGTGCAGCGAGAGAGTTACGCCTGCAACCTACTTAATGTAGTCTAGACACTCTAGCACTCGCCTTTACCGCAGTTGCACATGCTAGCAGACACACTCTAAACGAAGTTTAAGCTTGCGCGGTACATTGATACAGAATCGTTGTAGACACCACGCTTCTAAATTATTAGAGCTAACTAGTAGATACAGTGTTCCTTAACAGTGCTATTTACTTTAAAAACAGGCCAAAGCAAGAGAACTAGTCCCTGTCTTCGCTAGCCCCATCTATATTATTGCAGGACGAAGACGATCTACTGCATTTAATAATGCTAAAAAACACATCTTTAACCTTACCCTTAGCTGTAACCTCTGTATATCCGCAGTTTAAGCGTTTAGCTTCCTTCTCTGCCTTCTCTCTGCTAACCTTACGTTTGTTAAACATATCTAACTTGTTCCTAGCCATGACAATGGCAGGCAGCGCAGGGGTTGGCGAGGTGGTGCTTAGGTTACCATCCTCAACTGGTGCCTTCACCTTACGTATCTTCTTATATAGCTGCGGTATCTTCTCAAACGTTGAGGGATCACAGATGTCATAGACTAAAATGAATCCGTTCGCCTCGCGTATTGTTTCATCCCTGCACGTATCTTCACTCCCTATGTCGGTGATCTTCAGAGTATATGTCCGGGTCCTAAGTGTAACTGGCTTTGCAAATTGCTCTTCCTTCGTGGTAGGCTCGTGCGACTCGGGGTATTCGCCGTCGATGAACTGGAAACTGTTAGACCATAGTAGGTACGAAAACGTGCTAGGAGCGTTAGGATCTGTATCTAAGAGCGCTTAGCAGGACAGGATTAGTTGGGCAGGGTATACAAGCTTAGTAGGTAAGGTTGGTAGGCGTGGCAGAAGGAAGGAAGCTAGGTTAGTCGGATTCAGGGTTGCCACTTTTTAGTAACAGTAATTACTTAGTAATTACTAAGTGATAGTAATTACTATTACTATAAGCACCTAGTAATAGTAATTACTATTACTATAAGCGCTTAGTAATTACTATAGTAATTACTATTTTTCTAGTAATAGTAATTACTATTACTAAAGGTACTTAGTAATTACTATTTCTATAAATAGAT